TATATCTGAAACCATTTTAGATATATATTTTGGATACAGGAAGGGAAGCTATATTTTTTTTATTTTCCACCTATGGTTAATTTTTTTCCTTTACTTTCTGTCCTGTAGACACAGCAGGAAGTTACAGCAAATGTCTTAGGGAAATTTCAGATTGTCTCTCACTTTCAGTCCTAGTGGCAGTGGGCACCAGGACAAACAGAATAAATCTTCCAGGGACAAAATCAGCTATCAGCTATGTACATGGCAGAGGCTCTAACCCCTTATCACCCTTCACAAAACTGGAAAAAATGGCTTTAGATACACTTTATGTTAGACCCACAATCTGCGCGGTAAATCTTTGCCATTGCAGTCAATTACGCTGTTAATGTCATTGGATGTTCTTCCTATAGCTTTAGTTCCTTTGGCCATAATGATGCAGATTTCATTGTGCATTTTGTGGACAGTTTCACATGCATTTAACAGCATTTCTGTAACATCTGCATTGCTCCTGCTCTTTTTAAAAATTTTTTGGAAGAAGGTGCAATTTTCCTTATAAACTGGATTGTACTCAGCAGGAGAAAATTCCTCATCTTGATAAATGTAGCCCTACATATTTTGTTTCATTGTAGCACTTAATTTACCTCTAAAAATAGTGACTGTGTAGATGATGTGCAATTAATCTGAAAAGGATGATAATAACAACGTTTCCTATCATAACCTCAAAAATACTGGCAGTGTATTTCTCTGACGTGAACTGAAGTCAAAAGCCTGCTCTTTCAATAAAACGACAAGCTAAATAGGTATAAAAATATAACGATAATAATGAAATGTAAATGATAAACAACTACTGATACATGTAAGTATTTTATTGAAACTTGACAGGTTACAAAGCATACAATGTAATTAGTTCTATGACTAAAGTAGAGTGCAATAAACTCCTAGAAACTTGAAATGCAGCTTTTGGATGCCATTAGGTTTTAACTTTCTATAAAGCTCTATTTCCCTCTACATCACAAAAAAGATGCAATGAAAACAGTTTGGTCACTGTGGGTTTCCATGCAGCTATCTATCTGCACAAAATTCTAAAATCTCCCATTAAGATCCTTGCTCAGGCACTTTTTGTTATGTGGTGAGAACGGTCTCAAGTGTGCACCACTGTTGTCATCCTAAACATCCTAAACACGAATGAAGATGAAGCCCACAGGTCAGAAATGTTAAGTAAACAACCTTCATTTACTTAAATGACATTCTACTAATGATGTTTCGGGGGGAGTGCATGGGGACCCCTCTATCAAATTGACCATGCCATTTAATTGAATCAAGGTTGTTCACTTAACATTTTTGGTGTGTTGGCTTAATTTTCAATCATGTTTGGATCTGTGGTATCTTCACCAACGTGCACCCACAGTGCATTTTATTTGCCTCGTTGTTTGCGCAGAAGGCTTTACCTTGTCACCATGTCACATGTGCCCCTGTTGGACAATAAGCGGCCATATTTACACAAATTACATGGCTGTATATTGTCTACAGTTGTACCTATCTCCTGACACAACTGTAGACAATATACAGCCATGTAATGTTTTACATTGCTGCCAAAAACATTGATTTGCAGCCGATGCTGGAGTAAGCGCATGTAGACAAGAAGTGGCTGAAAAAACCTAGGGGAGGATCATTAGTACTGAGATGCAAAAAAAGTAAAAACGGTATTTAAGAAAATAAAATGTCAATTATTTATGGTACACTTTGCGTTACTAAATAAATGTCATCCAGTTAGGGTTTAGATCCACTTAAAGGCCACTGCAGTGCTTGCACAGAAGTGTGTATAATATCAGTGAATGATAGGAAATTGAAACTGGTACGTTGCTGATTGCCATGGGAAACCGTTCAATTTTCTTTGTGCTTAGTGTAATAAAAAAAAAAGAGCCCCGCAGGTCCCAAAAAAGATAGTAGCAATGAATTTGATGAAAGCCAGAAAAGAAATAAAATGTATATTAAAAAAATTCATTATTTTATCAGGCTGGTAAAAATGCATTCTCTTTGGATGTACTACATAAAGTTGCGAGAAAAAGGCTTTATAATTAAAACTGAATTTTAAAGGCAATAAAAAATATAATTGTAGCTTGGATCTTGTCAAATGGAAACCTTTTAAAACCTGAAATGAAAGACAAGTACTCTAAACATACTTGAATACAAAATATTTTAAACATATTATTTTCCTCCTTTTATTATCAGTTAAATGAAGTGAACTACTTTTTCAATGATCGAAGTATGTTTTCTTTTCTTTAACAATGCAGTTTCATTGTGTTTTCTGTGCAGGTGGGGGTCATTGTAACATTTCCTTACTTACCGAAGTTGCTTCTCATATGTTTCATAAGTTTAAAACAATTAATTTGTCATGGTTTTCCAGTGTTGTGGTTTCTGGTAGTCCCTAGGTATGTATTGGAGTTGCTGGGTTGATTACCATTGGTCACATGATATTACTACCATATGTGTCACAGGTGGGTGAATTGAAGTGTATTAAGATAATTGGCCATACAAAACACATTTTTCCTTCCTGTCTCTGACACCCCCACATCTAGAGGTGACTGATGATTCTGTTAAGAAGTTAAATGCAATGTAGATGTAAAATCAAGAATGTTATGTATATACTGATACCATAATTAATAGACTGCTTTCCTGCCCTTTCTAGCTCTAAGCTGCAATGAAAATGACGGAGACCACATGGACAGAGACCAACAGTACACCCCCAACCAGAAAACCAAACGCATGAGGACCTCTTTCAAACACCATCAGTTGCGGACGATGAAATCCTACTTTGCTATTAACCATAATCCAGATGCCAAGGACTTAAAGCAACTAGCTCAGAAGACCGGTTTAACCAAAAGAGTTTTACAGGTAAATAAATACTAAATCTCATAGCATTCCAATTTTTCCAGATATAAATAAAAATGAAATAGATGTGAGAAGAAAAGTATGCTGTCACTTTCTCAAATTGTTATACATTCATGCAAATACCTAATCATATTGGATAGATGTCCATTACAAAGCTATTCTGTAATTTAGAAATACATTTAAAATATAATCTATTCTCCACTAAAATGTACTAGTTCTAAAAGTTTTTTGTGATTTTATTAATGTCTAAAGAAATACATTATTTTTTATTATACTACATATTTATGTTATAAAAGTACATATTTTGTTACTGTATGCTTGTACGGGCTTTTGAAATATTTCAACATACATTTTTGTAATTTAATATTGCCCGGGCGAGTCAACAACACAGCTGTGTTGCTGGAATGCTGTAATTGTGTTTAGGACCATTAAAATAGCCTCCTTTATGTAAGACTGCATTCTGTAGACATACTGGCATAATTATAATTGCCCCATGGCAACAAATAACATTTAAAAGTGTCCATTTAGACAATAAATGATATTACAAGAGCCTCTGTATGCATAAGAGAGTAAGAAAGCTAATACATACTAATTAGAAAGTTGATGGTTTAATTTCCTTGCTTTACAGTATCAAATTTCTAAGAAAAGTGGAACTGCCCTTTAAGGTATTTTAACTTATTTATCAACACTGACAAGCACATGTCCCTTTGGAATATTAGAGTCATGTTAAAAAAAAGAATACTTTTAACAGTATTTTATTAAAATACAAATTCAATAAAATAATAAAAAAACATTTCTATTCACCTGAGGATACGAGACCAGCACATCAGATGTATGTGCTGGTATCTTGAAGCAAGAGGGTCACTAGGACTCCTGCTATATTTATACCAGTCATTATACCCTAAAAATTTGGCCTCAAATAATGGACCCCCCTCCCAAAACAGTCTAATGGAAACAAGGCAAAGTTTAAAGCTAAAAAAAACCTGGCCTTCTGAAAAATATTATTTCTCTTAATTTCTTAATAAATATGTGTATCTATAGTAAAAAAATGAATACAGAAACTCTTTGTTTTTCCTTCCCGAGAATCCCTTTTCATTAAATAACCTAATTCACATATTCACTTGTTTTCTCAACCAGATTATTTGTAACAACTAAAGCATGGGATTCTGGGAAATTCAAGCTCTGTCACTGTTAATTAATTAGGCAGCTATAGGGATAGCAGCCCTTATGACTGGTGTGCCAGGTTTCTGACAGAAGGGAGAAAGAGCACACTTTTGTTCATAATCTAAAGCGCATGTCATCAAAGAAAAAAAACATATGCAGTACCTCTCTGCAATGCATAGCCATTTCCCATTGTTTTTACACGTAAGAACCCTGCAAGTACTTAAAAACACATGCCAGAATAGCACTCAGCTCTTAATTTCCTGTTGTGTCTGACAACACACAGCATTTTTGTAGATTTAGTAGAGTCAGCCCTGCTTAGTTTTATTTTGCTAAGCTACTCAATCCATCCCACTGTCTTCATCTCCAAAGCACAGGTGCTGATTGCCTTGTAGTCCCAAGATAAGAAATGGGAGGATTAAACAGACCCATTGAGACAGCACAGGAAGTGTGCAGAGGACACAGGACAGCTCTGACTTTCTTATAAAACTTATGCAGCAAAATACTTTCAATGGTATATTTAATAGACTAAAATGGAGCAAATACAAGAAGTTAATTGTTTGGCTTTACATATTCTTTAATATTCTTTACATATTCTTTAATTTATAAAATAAAAAATGTAAAAGAAAGGAAAAAGAGAGAATTGGTAGATCCGAACCTGGCTGGAAGCTGGAATGTTGTAGCCAATCAGTGAACTGCAGGTGAAACGTTTTAATATTTGCTCATCTCTAAAATTATATTCATATTGCTTCACATATAGTCCCTCATCCAATAAACTTCAAAGTCCCGAAAAAGTCTTGAGATGTTTATGTCTGATTCAAGAGGGTTCTAGCATGCACCAATATGAAGCAAAGTCATGTGAGTTTCTCTACTAATATAGTTTGTATGCAAACATTTTCTCATAAAAACCTGGTGCATGTTTGCACGCGGCAATGCCAGAAAGTGCACAAAATCAAGCAATAACAGTAGGGAGAGCATTCCTGGAGGGTGATTGCTGGTCTCTGATGCAACTAAGCCAGTTATCAGGAGCCATAGCAGGAGTATCTTACACTCCCTAACAAAAGAAGCTAAATAATATAAAATAGAATTAAAAAAAGCATAAATACTTTCAATTACATTTAATAAAAATTTATCAAAAAGACAAATTACATGTCTGCGCTGCATAAATCATATAGTTCAGCCTAAACTTCATCAAATATAACGTCCTCAAAATACGTTTTAAGAAGTTGTACTTATATGAAGGAGAATTTTTATTGCAAAATTAATCTAATAGTGAGCCTAAGCCTAAACTCTTTCTAAACTAGCATAAAAAGTTGAGTCTTGCTTGTCAGCATCTAAATATCACCAGCTTTCAGGAGGAGAAACTGAGATTCTCCTCCTGAAAACTTGAGCAAAATGAGCTTGCAATTATTTTGCGCCTGCAAAACAATTGTCTTATGACATTACTGAGGTGCTAAAAATATAGTGAATAGGTTTAAAATTAGGGATGTTCAGATACCAGTATCTGTATCGGTGCCGATACTTGGCATTTTCATGAGAACTACCAAGGTTGCAGCTGCGACTGGGCCCTGGCGCTCCACTACTGTCCTGAAATAATTAGTCTGTATTCTTATAGAAAAACAG